TTACACTGCAGCTGAAATATAAGTGGTATTATCATTAGTTTGGTTTATGTGATTACGGGCAGAGCCTCGAGGGCTATATGCGTAAGAAGAGGGATGCCTTCGTGGAGGACTTTCTAAAGGAAACTGGCTCATATACAGTGGGTAAAAAAAGTATTTGCACACCTAAATTTTTGTTTGCAATTCATAAAAAGAAGCATTAAGAAATAAAAAAATTGGTATTGCCAAATCAGAATAAGTTTAATCATCCAAAACAAACAGAAAAATTACAATAATATAAATAACAATGCTTTTTTGTAACAAAATTAAAATATCTCGTATCAAAAAAGTATTTGCACACCTGCATGAATACAAAAGAAATAAAATATATAAGCAAATTTCAAATAACTAATATTTAGTATGCATTCCTTTAGCATCCATTACTGCTTGTAATCTTGCTGGCATTGATTTAATTAAATTTTCTGTAACAGTAGGGTCAGTATTCGGTCACCTTCAATAAGGGCTTGTTTTTTAAGGGCAGATTTGCTTGAAATCTTCCTTTTTCTTATTTTTAAATCCAAAGAATTCCACAGAATTTTCCAAAGGATTTAAGTCTGGTGATTGTGGTGGAAGCGGCAAGTTTTCTGGGTACATTATAAAGCAACCACATACGAGTTATACCGGCAGTGTTCTTGGGATCGTTTGTCTTGCTGAAAATAGTACGAATTACTGATACCCAATTTTATTGCACTTTGTGGCAAGTTATCTCGCAACACATCAATATAGGTTCGAGCTATCATATTCCCATCAATATGAAACACAAATTACCAATTCCTTTGCTAGCCATGCACACCCCAAATCACAAACATAACCTCCTCCATGTTTAACTGTAAGTAACACATTTTGGGTATGAAAAGCAGCACAAGGTTTTCTCCAAACTAATTTTCCTGCCATCTGATTTAAAGATATTGAACTCACTCTCGTCGGAGAATATGACATTTTTCCAGCAAATCGATTGGCTTATTGATATATTCCTTAGCGAATTCAAGTCTCTTCAGTCTGTTTCGTTCAGTTATGAGAGGTTTTTTTTTCCTTGGTGATCTCCCATAAATGTGTGCATTCGTGCAGGACATTTCGAACACTTTGGGCACAGATTTTGAACTCCAGATGTTGAAGAAGCGACATCATTGGCTAAAGTAATTGCTAAACGAATGGATTTTTTGATGCTTCTGTTATGATTTTTCGCTTCATTCGCAGTGAAAGTTTCTTTGGGCGTCCAGAGCGCAAGTTATTTGATGTAGATCCTCTTTCTTTATAACATACCAAATAGTAGAGAAGCAAACATTTACTTTTTTACCTATTTCTCGATAACTTAGGCCATTTTCACGTAGAGAGAAAAAAAAATTTTCTCGCAACGAAATCGGCAATTCAAGATTTCTTAGGTGCCATTACAATTTGAATCGACAATCAACTGATAACGTTTCGACAACACCTCCTTTTATAGTCGTCTTACGTATATTATTTACTGCGGGATGACTGTCAAATAATAGCATAAAAATGCAAATTTGCTAAAGTTGAGTTGAGTGTGCAAATACTTTTTTGACATAAGCTATTTTAATATTGTTGCAAAAAATGTTTTTTTATTAATATTATTTTATTTTTGTAATTAATTTAAATGAATAGGCTTATTCTATTTTTTAAATGCCAATTTTTGTATTTATTAATGCATTTTCTTATAAATTGTGAACAAAAATGTATGTGTGCAAATACTTTTTGTACCAACTGTACACGTTACACATGGGGAAAACCACGAAAACGCCCATGCAGCCAGCTCGTTCGCGGTATTTGAACCTTGGACCGAACTACCAGTGTTCGGGGATTTTACCGCTCGTGGGCACATTAGCTGGCTTGAAGTAGAACTTTTAAACTGAGTACCTTATCCCAAACTCCATGGTTTAGGCCTCTGTGCATAGCAAGGAAGTTCTGCTTAGCTAGCCACTTTACAGTAGTTATGAGTATCAATTATGAGCGCTCTTTAATCATGCCTAGTTATTTATAGACCTTGTATTCTCCCTTTTCTTTCCTTATTTTGAAATGGAATACAATTTTATGTGCGTACAGTAAGGTCTGAATATTTCTGTACGATAACGGTCAGATTGTCTTCTGTATGAGCAAATGCTGTAAAGTCATTCCTTTTTCACTTGTTTTTGAAGAAGATGTGTTTTATTCCTATTCCGCAAATACATTCTTGTTTTCCGAACTTGCCGACTCTTTTTACTTTCCTGTTCATTTAGCTGGAATTTTCCTTTAGATGATATGTTAAGAATGCGCCTGTTTAATGAAGGAAGTGAAATCTAAAGCTCAACTTCAGTTCTTCCCCCCCTTCCCGCTGATGTGTGTTGTGTTATTCCGTCTAGAACTTAGATGCATTTCAAGATCTACGATTTGCGCTAGACTTGTTTTCCTTCTTTAGTGCTTGTTAGCGAAATGATGAGCAGGGAAGTGACCAGATACTTCCCTCCTACATACACACACAACCCGAAGAAAAATTTCTTACTGAAAACTTAATTTTATTATTTACCTCAGTATAGCCTTATTTATTTACTAATTTACGAGGGAGGAATCCCCCTCCGCTCGCAATGAAATTTTTCGCTATCTGCCCTAACGTCTAAAAGAAGAATTGTTGTTTTTACGCAGCAAAGAACGTATACGTTCTTGCTGCGTGGCGTTCTTTTAAACGTTTTAGATTATGTGTTTCTTATTTCTCATGTTTACAAACGGAACAACAATTACATTCCAATATTGATGCTGACAGAAATTTTACTTGGAACTGAACTGCATGGATTATTTGGGGAAAGTGCAGAATCACCCACTGCTTGGCGCGTTTTTAAGAATTGCACATACTCGGTATCCATGTACACATCGACCTATTTTCACTTAAAAAAACATCCCAGAATTGCACAAAAATGGCATTGCGCACTTCCTTCACTTATTTTCACTTAAAAAGTCGAAGAAAATTGACAAAAATCCAATTCTTCTTACTCTTGTAAAAAGTCGAAGAAAATTGACAAAAATCCAATTCTTCTTACTCTTGTAAAAAGTCGAAGAAAATTGACAAAAATCCAATTCTTCTTACTCTTGTAAAAAGTCGAAGAAAATTGACAAAAATCCAATTCTTCTTACTCTTGTAAAAAGTCGAAGAAAATTGACAAAAATCCAATTCTTCTTACTCTTGTAAAAAGTCGAAGAAAATTGACAAAAAAAACTCTTGTAAAAAGTCTTTTACTCTGTAAAAGCGAAGAAATTGACAAAATCCAATTCTTCTTATTCTTGACAAAAAATCCAATACTCGTAAAAGTCGAAGAAAATTGACAAAAATCCAATTCTTCTTACTCGTAAAAAGCGCCAAACAAATAAGTGGGCGATTCTGCACTTCACCCTTAATTACATGGGCTTCTCTTTATCATTTGCATTCTTATAGAACACTTTTTAAAAGTTAAATTAACGAAAAAAAGTTTTATTATTACTTTATAATTATTACTTTATAATCATTACCTTGCAAATTTTCCCAGTTCTTTCACTATAAACTCAAAATCGATAACTATATATATAAAATACACGTACATTGCTACAGGTGTGTATTTAATTATGGCAAAGCACACTGGGGCTATCTGCCTAAGGGATGCCTTCGTGGAGGACTTTCTAAGGGAAACTGCCTCGTATACACGTTTCACATGGGGAAAACCACGAAAACACCCATGCAGCAAGCCCGTTCACGGGATTCGAACCTCGGACCAAACTACCAGTGTTCAGCGACTTTACCGCTCGGCCGCTGGTGGGCGTATATTGCAAGAGGGGGGGGGAAGTAGTACAGTTCTATATCTTCCCTTCTGCTGGGCCGATTGACAAAATTCAACTTGCCTTTTTCATGTCTCGAAAGCTCGACTTAGGATATGTATTAGATTTATATATAGCTTTTTTTCTTATATTTTATAGATTATACTTAAAAAAATTTTTCGAAAATTTTATTTATTATATGATTTAAAAATACAAATTTTAAAAACAAATAATAAAAAATGGGCGAATTTTATTTGGAATGCACTTAATTTCGATATGTGATAGAAAGAATCAGGTAAGTTTAATAAAAACAGAGAGATTAATAAATATATACCAAATTTAATTAACATTGAGGAGCTAAAATTTTGAGAGCTAATTTTTTTAAAAACTCCTCGTGCGATTTTTACAAAACTTGGCAGTTTGGCATAATTTGAGTCTTAAGAATCAAAATATGGAAAAAAATTGGCATGTCATTTCAGAAAAAGTCCGATTTTTGTGTCAAATTACCCACATTAGAAGAATGCTATGTATAAATCTAATACATATCCTAAATCGCGCTTTCGAGACATGAAAAACGCTAGTTGAATTTCGTCAATCGGACCAATAGAACTGTCCCATTTTTTTTTTCGCGCAGTGTACATACACACACATAATTCAAATGTATCAAGTCTACTTACCCAGTGTCATAAGAGTGGGTATAATTTCTATTCCATCAGTCACTGTTTACATCCCCAATACATTCAATGTTTATAAAGAATTAATATAGAAATTTACACAGACATTTTGATCGTTGCCCGTAAAAAGGATCTCTGGGTATATCCTAGGGACAATTCATATAGAAAAAGCATTGCAAACGTATTTCCTACAGAATGAATATACTGATGTATTTTACAGAAATACACATTATGTAATCTTCGCAGAAATACGTATTATGTTATGAACAATGTTTTTACCTAGGAATATTCGAGAATCTCTTTAAAGAGTTCTATTCACCTACGTTAAATATAGTGGTAATAACCAATTGGTTAAAATGGGTTTTAGCACTAGCGCGATTTACCCCAATAAAATCATTAAAATTTTACTGCGAATGCGTTTTAACACCATTTTGTATCTTACATTCAATTAATACACAGATTTTAATGCACATACGTAAATCAAAACAGAAATAAAACCAAAAATATACAAACCTTGTAATTATCCGAATACACCATCGACTATCCACCAACACATGCAAACAGGCGCCATTAAACTTTCAAAACATGGAATCACGGGAAGATCAGGCATGCGCTGAAGGCTTTGCTTTGATTGGCTGCCATTAACTTAAAGTGGTGAAACAAAGGTCTGCAGTAACTCTTATGTTGTTATTTCAATCATTGTGTTCTTATTTACCAGTGTCCAAGTAACTCTGTTAATTGTTTATTTGCCTAATCTTTGGAATATGGTAACAGGTAGTTTGGCAACATTTTAATAAAGCGATAAAAGTTACTAGGTAGGACTTTAGCAGTGTACATGGATAAAGTCGAGAGTGTGCGCAATGCCATTTTTGTGCAATTCTGGGATGATTTTTCAGTTAAACATGTACAAGAATAAAGACACTCACACCTTTCCTTGATTTCTAGCCCATCTTTAAACAGAATTTCATATCATAGTCTTTTAAGACATAAAACCATGCACAACAGAAACAATATTCATTACTTAACTATTATGCACTTAATGCTCCGTATCAGAATTTACAATTTTCTTGCGTTTAAGCAAGTATGAATTGAGATCTGTCTTTCTTGCAAATTAAATGCTCACTATAAAATACTTAAACGAAACACACATGAATATAAGCAAAGTTTTAACGGCTAATCTTTGGAATATAGTAACAGGTAGTTTGGCGACATTTTGGTAAGGCGATAAAGGTTAACACTAGGGACTTTAGCAATAATCTGAGAAGTCACAGTTCGAATCACAGATTATTTTTGTCTCAGAGAATGAGAGATCATGAGGCATGTCATTTGACATTTTCCGGAAAATTCCGATCGTGAGAATTAGATTTTTGTCAAACTTTTCGATTGTACTGTTTTTTAATTCTGTATGTTTTTTTAAGTGAAAATAGGTCGACGTGTACATGGATACCGCGTATGGGCAACTTCTAAAAACGCGCGAAGTGGGCGCGGATTTTTGCACTTTTTCCAATTTCGCACCTAATCTTCGTCATGATTAAGCACTTTTGTTCCATAAAAGTTCTAGCATAAGCGTAATTCGACTAGCAGATTGTTGGAAAAAGTGTTGAGTTAGGGGAAAAAAAAAAAAAAAAAAAAAATTCCTTTACTTCCTGAAAACAAAATTGCGTCAAAAAATTAAAAAAAAAAAAAAAAAAAAAAAAAAAAAAAAAAAAAAAAAACTAGCAGGTTGCTGTAGCAGGGTTGGTCGCCAAAAAATGCCAAGTTACCAATTCTGCACTTTTTTCCAATTTCGAACCTAATCTTCGTCATGATTAAGCACTTTTGCTCCATAAAAATTCTAGCATAAGCGTATTTCGACTAGCAGATTGTTGGAAAAAGTGTTGAGTAGGGGGGGGGGGGAAAGCCTTTACTTCCTGAAAACAAAATTGCGTCAAAAATTTAAAAAAAAAAAAAAAAAAAAAAAAAAAAAAAAAAAAAAAAAAAAAAAAAAAAACTAGCAGGTTGCTGTAGCAGGGTTGGTCGCCAAAAAACGCCAAGTTACCAATTCTGCACTTTTTTCCAATTTCGTACCTAATCTTCGTCATGATTAAGCACTTTTGTTCCATAAAAGTTCTAGCATAAGCGTAATTCGGCTAGCAGATTGTTGGAAAAGTGTTGAGTAGGTTGCGTCAAAAAATTAAAAAAAAAAAAAAAAAAAAAAACTAGCAGGTTGCTGTAGCAGGGTTGGTCGCCAAAAAAACGCCAAGTTACCATAATCCGAAGATTCACCGTTTATTTTTTTGAGTCACCATAAGTTACGCACTCAGTCACCAGCTCGAATGCTTTCCCAGATGCACAACTCACATTCTCTTAAGTACTTACCTCTAAATTATTTTTGGTTTCTGAACTTATCTAAATTTTTAACACCTTTTCAGATTTTAATTAATTTGTTATGTTTGCGTAATTAAGAACAGCTCAAATTTTGGTACGGGCACTCCTCCACAGGAGGTCTGCGGTGATTATACCAAACTTCAGTGCACTGAAAAGAGCAAGTGAACCATGTTTTGGTGCTACCTCTGACTTTGAAGTATGAAATGGTGCAATACTGATCTGAAATTTTTTACAGTGTATATTATCTTGACGAAACGGCAAAAGACCTTCTGTACCTTCCACGATGTGTTATCAGCGAATTATTTTACAGCTGATTGTTGAAAATACTGAAAATACTTGAAGTTAAATGATATTTTTAATTACTTTTTAACATTTAATAAAAATCCGAGAATAATAGCATGAATTTAAAAAAATGAAAATATATATGCACGTCTTAGTAATAGTTTGTCAGTTTTCGACGGCAACAGGTTTTTAAGATTATTTATAACGTTTAGAAAAGATAATGAAATAGGGTGCATCTTTTAACCATTTGAACTGTACAGCCGAATCGTTACAACTCTTGTACTATTGGCATAATGGGTACACGATTGAGTGATGGGTTAAATCAATTGAGTTTGGTAATTTCATTGCCAATTTCAACATTAGGGAAGTTGCTGTGGGGCGTCATTATGTGAAGGTAATTAATTCCCTGTCTTATTAACAAAGATAGAACATTAAAATCTTTTTCAGTTTCTTAATTCAAGCAAAATATTTTAAAATTTAATATTAAAATACATTCAGAGCTCAGGTCGTTGATGGCAACCATCTGCCATAAATGACCACCTCCAAAGTGATCTGTACTTCTTCAAACATGGATAAACATAAGTAATAAACCTTACCTCCACTGAAAACAAAAATTCTTTAGAACCGTGACGATCATCTTAGAGAATTTTCACTATTCTAGTATTATGATTTCCTAGTAAGCTAGTATAGTGGTCAATTAACATTTATTCAATTTCAATACATATTACGGTAATGCAGGGACAGGACCCAAATGTCGCCAAATTTGGCGATTTTTGGAAATTTCTCGCCAAATTTGGCTACAAAATAAATTTCCAAAACCGTTGTCAACTTATCGATATCTCGCCAGATTACCGAGATACCTATTTACTCCATATTAAATACACTTGCCCCTGTATTGTTACTTTTCCGGCATAGCTTTCTCTTAAAAGTTTCCCGTTACGTTACAGAGAAGAATACAACAATACATATATAGACAACATATAAGGGCGCCAAAATTTTCTTTTCCTAAGGACTTCAGGTATTAATGTTCTTGCTCCTGTTGTGAGTCGTTCAATTCAAACAAGGTACTAAGCAACAGTTGGGGGGGGGATGAAGGGGGGGGGGGGGGGGGGGGGGGGGGGGGGGGGGGGGGTGGGGGGGGGGGGGGGGGGGGCGGGGGGGGGGGGGGGGGGGGGGGGGGGGGGGGGGGGGGGGGGGGGGGGGGGGGGGGGGGGGGGGGGGGGGTGGGGGGGGGTGGGGGGGGGGGGGGGGGGGGGGGTGGGGGGGGGGGGGGGGGGGGGGGGGGGGGGGGGGGTGGGGGGGGGGGGGGGGGGGGGGGGGGGGGGGGGGGGGGGGGGGGGGGTGGGGGGGGGTGGGGGGGGGGGGGGGGGGGGGTGGGGGGGGGGGGGGGGGGGGGGGGGGGGGGGGGGGGGGGGTGGGGGGGGGGGGGGGGGGGGGGGGGGGGGGGGGGGGGGGGGGGGGGGGGGTGGGGGGGGGGGGGGGGGGGGGGGGGGGGGGGGGGGTGGGTGGGGGGGGGGGGGGGGGGGGGGGGGGGGGGGGGGGGGGGGGGGGGGGGGGGGGGGACGTGCATTGAAGCATGGACGTTTTTGAAACAAGTTACAACAAACGAATCAATTTAGTTTGAAATACGTTTCACATCCGTGGGAACGCTCTTTTTTTAAGACTAATCCATAAAAACTAGTGATGAGTCGTACTACCGAACCGGGTATTTGTAACGGGTACTTAGTTGTAATGGGTACTGAAAATCGGTACGTCCAAGTACCCGTTACTTTTACTTTTTCAGTACCGAAATCGGTACTTTTCGGTATTCGTACTTACCGAAAAACGGGTACTTTTTCGTTATTCGTTACTTCTGTACCGAAACGGGTACTTTTCGGTATTCGTTACTCCTGTTACTTCTGTACCGAAACGTGTACTTTTCGGTATTCGCTACTTTGTAACGAAAATATGCGTCTCTTCTCGGTATTTCGGTATTCGTTACTGGAGGATCGATGAGGGTTCAGCTCACTTCGGTTTTGGTACGAGGACAGTAGTATCTGGTTGTATTTGCGAAATGGTGATATGCGCTCCTTGTGTCTATAAATGGTCTGCTCCTCAGACAGTTGACATGTTTCCGTAGTTGACATGTTTTCTGATATTCAAAATCTTACTCCGTACAGATAAAATCAAACACGTGGTGACGTGGCAGAGTTCCTTCAGTGCGCAAAATCGTTAGCTGCGTATTTCGGTACTCCAAATCGTTACTAGGGTACTCCGGTACAGCAAACCGTTACTCCGGTATTTCGTTACTTCGGTACTCCAAATCTTTACTTGGGTACTCGGTACTTGAAATCGGTTTTCGATACTTTTCAAAGTAACGGTTACTTGAGTAACGGGTATTTTGTACCGGGTACTTGTCTGTACCCGTTACTCTCGTACCGGGTACAAGAAAGTACCGAAGTTGCCCATCAATAATAAAAACCTACAGAGGAAGAAAAATTGAATGTACCTGTACAGTATCGTGTACCGTTAAAGTTAAAAACAAAATAAAAATTATAACCAATGAAATGTTAGTTATAATCATTTATATAATATATGTGTGCTGATGGTCGGGAATTGAAAGGAAAGGCAGGTCAGGCCATGCTTGGTTTCTGTATTTTGATGTGTATTTGGTGTGTTTATGTGTATTTTCATGGTCTAGCAACCTGTTCTTATTGGGCATGCGTTTTCTTACTTATAGTTAGTTCTATTTATTAATCCAAAAGGGACTTTAGTCCCGAACGGAATATTAATCTCGAAACAGCATTTTGCGTCGAAACACTTAAATATGTTGCGCCACTTTTTGTTGCCACCAAATATTGCCGCCCTGTATTTAAAGAAATTAAATAATCGAACATGGGTAGCGGGAAGGCTGAATTTTGAATTTCGAATTTGTGTTATTATCTGTTTCATATTTTGTAAAATTTTTAAACGAGTTTTTGGTTAACAGACTCGACGATTTCAAAGCCAGCACTGTACGGATTAAAATATTTCTTTTATCTTCAGATTGTCTATCGGAAATTCTTAAGATATGCTATTTTAAAATATTTTGTGTTGAATCGAATTTTAACGTGGTGTAAGCATCAAGAACGTAATAGTTATTAATAAACACAAAAAATGTTACTAATAAAAATCAAAAAAAAAAAAAAAAAAAAAAGGAAAGCCATATTTGTAAGGAAACCGAACAATGATATGATAAACTGTGAAAAGATTGAAAAAAAAAAAAACAGAAAAATATATGCCAACACTTAAACGCTGCATCGGAATTAGTGTATTTAATTATGGCAAAGCACACTAGGGCTATCTGCCTAAGGGGAGGGAGCCTTCGTAAAGGACTTTCTAAGGAAAACTGGCTCGTGCTGTATCGGAATTTTAAACATATCCTGCTGTACTGCTTTTATTTATTTATTTATTTATTTATTTATTTTTAATTTTGCTGTTGAATTTATATGGCGTAAGTGAGAAGAAAATGGTTAGCTAAAAAGAAAAGGAAAAAGGAGGGGGTGTTAGGAGCGAGCGAAACAGCAGACTGCTAGACCGGGAACTCAGAGCGTAAAAACCCCTAACAAACCCTTTTGAGCGATTGTTAAAAATCTGAAACCTTTCATATTTTATGTA